AAATAAATATCTTGTAAGATCATAAAGAAGCTAAGTAGATTTGGCAACAGGCACACTGTGCCATATAAATCAAATATACCGTACTCTTTGAGTACCCATTGACTCTGAACTGTTATTCCCGGCAATTCGGCAAGAAATTCCTTGGTTCGTCATGCTTTTTCGCTCTTTTTACACTTAAACTTAATCCATTAACTTGGATTGTTTTCAAATTTATCTTCAACCGTAACACATACTGTGTTCATGACTTTAATTCATATCCACAAGTTTGTGTATGTATTATTAATTGTTACTCAAGTGATGAGTTTAATGCAAATTTTATGGTGCCTTTATGGTGTCAATTTAAGCATTTTTCATAAGATTATCCCGGAAACATGGTTATAAATGTAACTAGTATAATTTGCGAGCCTGATTTTTTACAACATATAAAAAAAATACTTCATATTGTCCTAATTTTTTAGTTATTTGCTCTTAAAAATAAAATAAGAGAGCCAAACAACTCTTGTTCAGGGGCAGTTAACTCATAAAGTAGCATTGGGGCCACGAACATTTTGCATCGAATTGTTTAAATTATATCTCTTTTTAGGTATGCAATGTTAAAGAAACTTCTCTGTGCAATTTTAAATATTTCTTTTTAGACCTTAAAAATACACTACTCGTATAGACTCGTGTCGTATGTACATAATTTCTCATCGTTCAGGATACGTCCGTTGCCGAGTAGTTAATGTCGTTTATTTCAAGCCCCTTGCCCATCCCCGCTGTGAATTCAAATCCCGCTAGCGGCTTTGGATTCTCTTCTTTGAGGAAACTTATCAAGTTACTCATTGGATCGTCGGTGGTTTTACTCAGGTGCCTGAAATAATGTATGCAAGAGCACCTGATAACTCTCTGCACCTGTAAAAGCGAAAAGTCGCTACTCATGCGACTTTACACACAACCAACAAAAATGAAATTGTGCTCGTACAAATTCAATCACAGAATCTGATGTTAAATGGAAACGTTTGATTAAGACGGTGCTATGTGGCATTTACGGTTTATTGCAGTACCACTGTTTCCAATAAACTGGCTCGATCATACCGAATTAACATACTTTCTTCCTATTTGTCGACCGTATGCGTTTTCTTTTCATGGTCGTTTTTTACATTAAATGCATGTTATTGTTTAATCCTTTAATGTATGACGTTAAATGATTCTGACATAAGACAAGAGCGTTATAAATGTTAAGTAACGATTGAAGTATGTCCAAATTCTTTCTAATTAAGCTTAACTATCAACACCTGTTTAAAAGATGATTCCAGCTTTTTGTCTAACATGCGAAGCCATCACACAACAATATAAACATACAAATAAAGATAATAAATCTTAACCAAAGAAACTGTTTACTTCGTTACACATTGATGTAATTTCGTGGAATTTTAGCGGGCATTCGCAGACAAAGTAAACTTCGCTATTGATTGCATCAAATTGCATGACATGTTTAATCTAAGACTTCGAACTAGCATAATATTCTAATGTATACCGCATGAAGAATGTGTTTCGTCAGTTTCTCGCTAAGGATATTGTGGGAGCATCATTCTTCTTTGTTTCTGATAAATATGAAATATGCACGGAAGTGTACATTGTTATAAGCATACTGTTTATGTGAATCACATGATTAGTTGTATTGTCAAGTTTAATATTTCTTCCTGAACATAATTTGTCAAAACTTTAATATCAGGACTTTTGTCAAGTTCGGTCACATATTATCAAAGGAACACATATATATACATGTAATTGATCTTAACCGTGTTTTAATACAATTGCGGACCTGACATAATCAATGAGAACCGCCATAAAGGTGCCCAGGAAGGCACCATCAAAAGCAAGCACAAATAGCTGACCAAGGGCAAACAAAGCCCTGAAAGTGGATTGCTGTCAATTATCAAAAGAAAGTAAAAATCAAATCAAAGTAACAATCAAAAGAAAGTATCATACATTGTAATTATATTCACCGGATTTTTTTAAAGAAGAATAAGATAACAGTGTATGATAGTTCAGATTAATTTGTTAGAAACGTTGCAAAATTCTTGTTGAATTAAATAAATATTTTATAACTTACATATACTTCAAACATTTACATGGAATATAAATCTTGAAAAAAATGCTACAATAACTGAAACGTTGACACGCAAAATTGAGAAATTAATTAAAAAATATCAAATTAAACAGAAATGACATAATTCATGCTAATAAATGTTATTTATGACATACTATTTGTTCATGGTATTTGAATGCAAACAAGTAACTTCAGTATAAAATTCAATTTTAATGAAATATAGAATAATTATGATAAATTAAATGTTTATATTCAAATATAATTTGTACTATTTTTAAGAACCTTACCACACGCCGTGAACAGTCAACAAACGTATAAATATTGTTAACAGCATTGCTTAACGTGTTCATCATTTAGTTGTATGCTGCAATAACGACATTAATTTAATTCTTATTTGTGTTTTTACCGTGAATAAAAACAAAGTAAACTTTAACTTATCTTAAACTAACAACAAGAAAACTATATAAAATTTAGAAACTAAAGGAAATGAATTAAAAATAAAGTGACATCTGTATTTACAAGAGCACCGCATGCGGTGTTAATTCTCGTCTGCGGAAAGTTTCCAGCTAAAAAAGGGCACAACTCCAAAAATATTGGTTTTAGAATTATGTCCTTTGTCTAACAACTGCACCTTGTCATGATAAGCAAGTATTCAACATTTATGTTGATACTTTTTTCGTATGTTTAAATAATTGGTACATTAAAAGTTTGCATTAAAGTTTTTACACGACGACGCATCGATCATAAAAGCTCGCCTTTTTCTTCAGAACAGAGGAGCTAAAATTATATTTCATATAGAGAAAATGTTTTTGTTTTGTTTCTTTTTAACAAAAATATATTTATCAAGTGTAACTATTCATAACTTGAATGCTTACAAATGAATAATGTCAACAAAAAACACAACAGCATGCATGCTAGGGGAAGTCATAAACTATGAAAATTATAAAAGAATACGGTGAGAACACAGGGTTACACCCGTAATTTCGGTATTTAACGATACAAAATCTAAATGGAAAACTGTCATGTTGTGTATGATTTAGGCTTAATTTCAAATTTTTCCCAAGTTAGTCACTTATTGTTCTCACTTAGATACAGAAACAAATACATTTTGCACATATTAGAAGTGGATAATAATTTAATGGTAAATTATTGTTTCACAGGTTAAATGAATAAACAGTTTCTTGACTTAAATTACAGAAACTGCATAAATTTGTGCTCAGCACATGTGAAAATGTAAAGACCTATTTAAATATCAAAAATAGCACATGCAGCAATCATAGTATCATGTCAGTTAATATATATTAAGAGTAAATTTTTAACATTAATACGATGAAATAAAAATGTTTATATACAAACCGATTATTCTTTCGAAAGGTATCATTACATTTTTTTGTGAGTAACAAATAACCACACAAACTTGAAATGATCCAGAGGCTTAAGGACAAATGAATGTGATGTATCATTTTACGCGGAGAATATGCCAACCGTGAAAAGCACTAACTTAAAAAGGGCGAAGTGATTTCTAGGAATACTGTATTATTCTATCATGTTATTTTCTTTAAAATAAAAATAAACAAACGCAATCCGGATACTTCAAGGCAATGAAATGAATGACTCATCAACAACAGTAATTTGATCAGGAAAGTGTAACTTTGTTTGTCAAATGCTTCTTATTCACCCGTTCCGTTTGAGAATGCACCTTTTGGCATAAAAACATCCTATCATAAGAGTTTTTGTTGTTGCAAGTATGTGGGAGATATTTTGATAAAAGAAAAATGTTAAACATCGTAAATCATGGTCAAAGAATGTATGATTATTTATCTTACACGTGAATCATGTGTTATAATTATAAACATATCTTGTTACTTTGCACTATTAAATAAAATGATAAGATACTTATGTAATGCAAAAGATTAATAATAGAATAACAAGAATTGAGTCCGTTGGAAGAAACCAGTTCTAATGTCAAAATAGAAATCATTTCAATGGAGGAAAAATAATAACTGATACAGGCTCGTGATCATGTGACGTTGTTGCTCGTCTTTTTCTTTCATATTCGTGAGTTAGGACGCAATGTTTTAATAGTTTGATACAAGGACGTCCCCGGTAGTGTTATTACCTAAACATTACAGTAACTGTCAAATGACACCGCACTAGCACGCGGATGGCATCCATCAAGGTATAGTCACTTTATACAAAATACAAAATACAACAAAACCAGAATAACCAATTATGAGTATATTATTATGCAAGAATAGCGCGTATGCCCTTTTTTCGTACAAAGATATCTACAGAAGCTGTCAGACTTATTGAATCCCTCACCATACAGGCATTGGCTAAAAATTCGTCCGATGTTAATGCACGTAAAAGGTGTACATGTATTAACCTTCTATTGATGCTGATTCAGAAGCTGTGAAATTCTTTTAAAATCATTCTTAAAGAAGTATCCCTTACGGAATTCACTTATAAGTCACTTATAGGCTATTTTATATGTAGATTATACTTCACTTAGTCAATTCACCTATAAGTCAAGTATATGTATTTTAAATGCAAATTAGATGTAAGTGCAGTATATGTGTCTGGCATTTTGACATATAAGTGAAGTATAAGGGGTTTTTTATATAAGTCACCATATATGTGACATGTAATCAAAGATATGCTCAACTTATAAGTAACATATAAGTGAGCTTATATGTTACATATAAGTGACTTAATATAAGTCACTTATAAGTAACATATAATCACATGTAGTCGCATATATGTTACTTGATGTCAAAAAGCTTGAAATTAAAATAAAGTTTTAGTAATTTAATTTCAAAAATTTTTATTAATTTATATTCATAGTCATACAAAAAGCAAAATACAAAATACAAAATTCAGTTCAATCATCTTACTTCACTATACAAAAACAATATTTCATTGTAACAGCAAGTTTTTGTTTTTTACTGGTTTTCTTGGAATCAAACACTTTATTTATATAATTATTTTGCTGGAAGTCTGTCGGTGAGGAACTGTTCAAATCATAATTATTTTTTTAAACTACTATTTCTTTTATTGATGTCTGTTTCAGTGCTCTGATTCTGTTTCCTCGGAGAACTTCCTGTGGCTGTGTTCACCTTTAAAGATAAAATTCATAATTAACTAAAAAAGATGTGGAATAATTCCGACTATTGTATATGCAGTTATATTTCATATTTTTTATATCATCAAACTATATTACCTATTTATGCTTATGCATATACAAATATACTAAGTTACACAGTATTTCATTTTAGTGCACAAGTCAACAATGTTATTTAAGAATTGCTAAAAGTCTCTATAAGAATTGATTAACTGCACTATTTGCAACAACATTTATTATGCTCTTTTCTTGGAAAGATTTAGAGCAGTAAGTATAGAGATTAAAATAATATACCTTTTCAGGCTCAATACTGCATATCATTATTCACCTGGCATCTCAAAGTAAGAACTGGTCCCACTAGCCTGCAATGTATGTAAAATGGAATATCAGATTTCTCCATTGAAAACAACAATAAAATGATAAATGATTATGATGACCCTGTCTTATTCAGCTCATAAAACTACTGATTACATGTACTATTAAGTTCTAAAAATTCAATTAATTTAACTATTTAATCTAGATTTAAATCAATTACAATTATTAGTAAATCTAATGTATGAAGACAACCTTGAATCTCAAGTTACAAATTTTAGTTTGCTGCCATCTTACTTTGATTGTTTAATATATAACCTGTATCAATTCTGCATAAATGTAACTCAAAGGTATTTACCTGATTTTGTTGTATATCTTCTTGTCCAAGGTGATTCTCCTTGTCATTCTTATTTACCATAACTATACTTAAACATCTTAAACAAAACAATATCTCTAAAATTCCTAAAACATTAAGTAGATTCTCTGTGATTTCCACCAGCTTGCTAACCTAAATGTTTCAGACTTACAACTGTGTACCTGGGCAGATCCAATGTTATGTAAAACAGGGTAAATCCAAAAATCAAAGCACTCATCAGTTCTATCTTACAATCATTGAATGTAAAAAAAATCAAATAACTAATAGATATGTAAAGTTTAAAAATCATTATACATTTTTGAAAAAGAAAATGCAATGTCCTTTTTTACAAATTCAGGATAGGAAATGTTATCTTTCCCCAAAATAATCACATGGAACAGTCTGATTTGTAGGAAAGACCAGTCAAAAAATTAGTCATGCACATATGGTGGCAAAGGCAGGTGGCCAGTTTTATCAGACCTTTGATCTATGTGGTGTATCAGTGGATGTAGAATATATAAGCAATCTTCAGGCATATTGGTTCCTTGATTTTATATAGATTAAAAGGGCAATATAAACTGTTTATTTCAAGCACTGTTTTTTTTATTGTTTAAATATCTAAAATACACTAGGCCTAAATGTCTTAAAAATAACACTTGTATATCTAAAAAAATACACCTCTTTTTCTTGTTAGAATATCTTACTTCAGCGAAATTAGGTCTGTAAGAAGTACAGTAGGTAAAAACATATAGATTTCAATGTCTGTTTCAAGTTAGAAAAAAAAGAGTAGAATTGTGCCTTGGGTGACTTTTATATGAAATATTTTCCTTGTGAGAAGAAATGACATGGAATTTCATTTCTGTCCATGGTAGCCTAGAAATCACTGATTGAATGCCATTTCTGTCCCAATTCCGCACAGAATATGTACCAACATTTTTTACAGGTAATATACTTAATTGATAATCATTTTTCCTATTATCTTATTTAAAAACCCCCAGCTGTGTTCAAAAATTAATAAGCAACATTTAAAAAAAAATCTTAATTGTTTGTGATTAAGGTCTAAGATTATAGTATTTTAAATTCTGAGTATTTTGATACCCATTGTGTTAAAGCAAAGAATTACAAATCAACTTCAATAAATTTTATCAATTTTTCTCATGTTTTTGTACTTAGTAATTTTTTCAGCTTTGCTCAGTCTCGCAAAAGTTCTAAGTTTTCACTTATATCTAACATAGAAACTGGTTACTTCAAACTTCACCAGTATAAGGCACTTATAGGTGACTTGTATGTGACTAATATGTTGGGGAAAAAAAATGGCCAAAAGTGACTTATATGTAGCATATACCTATAACTGACTTAGACAGGTTTTTAGGTGATTTATAAGTGACTTATATGTAACTTATAGTTCTCTTATAGGTCAAGTATAAGTTGCATATAAGAAACATATAAGTCACTTAAAGTCATTTTGGTAAGGGAAGTCAGCTCAATTATGAATATGCCAACGGTATTTATTCCGCTCTTATTTATTTTTGTGATGGTTTGCATATTTCAAGACTTAGCAATTTCAAAGTCATTCTTTGTTGACAAATATGTGGGTTGTTCCTGATTAGAAGAAATAATTTACACCATAAATCTTGATCGAAGAATGCATCATCATTTATCTACTGCAAAAATCACATGCAACAATTATAAAAATATTACATTTCACATGCACTTCTAACAAAACATGACAAGATACTTTCGTGAAGCGAGAAAATAAATAAAATCAAACATTTTGTTCATGCGTATAAAAAAGAGATATATCTAATAGAAAATCTTATCTTTCCGAGAAATAACGATTGCCTCTTCTCTGGCTCATATCTTAGAGGCCATGACTGGTGTTGGTTTACATATGTAAAAACAAGTCACTTTACATAAAATGAAAGTAAAATCGTCTAGACATGATATAAAATATTCCGACGTAGGTGTGAACAAGTCTGTTTCAACGATATATGATCCGCATGGAGATAGTTATTATCTAATTTGTTATTAGTCAAATATTACATTGTCATCAAACATACTCATAAATATTTGGAACCCCTTGTTTCTTGGGATAAAGGATTCTATAGCCAGCTGACATTCGATAACAAATAATGTTACTTTAAACAAATATATAGATTATAAATTCAGATAGTGTTCTTTCTGTCGCAAATATAACGATGTTATAACAAGGCGTTTTGTCTCGCGTTCGTATGAACATTAACACGTAGTGTACGTATTACTATTGTCGCGAAAAGGAGCTTTGTATAATAAATCATAATAACCAAAGGGCGTTTTTTTGGAGAAATGAATAAACTTCCGTGCTGATAAACATTAAAATGAATTTCATATTATTATTGTTTTCACTCAGTGAAATAATGATATTCAATATGCAATAAATATAAGAATCCCTAAAGAAAGTCCAAAACGGCAAAATTAAAAATGTTGCAGGCTCGGTTTGATAAACGCAAATAACATTACACTGTTAATATATTGTATGGATCAATTATATTGTATGGATAAATAATGGCAGAAGAAAAGTTATGTTGTTAAAAATGTATGCATAATTGCTTGAAAGACGGAACAATTTGTGATGTAGTTTGTATGCAGCTGCTACATGTGTTACTATTATTGTCTCTGCATAACTATAATAAACTTATCACGACATGCATTACGTCCCATTTCTTCATTTATGACATACGTTATTACACAATAACTACAATCATTTCGTCAAAAAAAAAAACAAGTACATTGAAATCACAATGTTGCTTAAGTCAGTGATACGAATTGAAACAGTTTTCATGTTTTGAATACACTTTGAAGCAAATAAAACTGTGTTTGATCGCATGCAATAAGTTAACTTTAAATTCAACTTAACATACAACACAACATTAAAATTGTAACTTTGACTTACCACTTTTTTAAATAAGCTATCAACTGCTGTTTGATAAAGAATCTGAAACTGAATTTAAAAAAGTGTTAACGGTCTTTAAAAATGTGTGAACTTAACCTGCAATTCTTCGGAAAGGACGTAAGGTATTTGCATTTTTGGTTCAAGCGAAATGGTTGCAAACTTGACAAAATTGCTACAGAGTCATAAATTGTTATAAACACAAGGTTAGTGGGTTTGCATGTTGTTTCTACAGATTTAGATATGCCGATTCATTGAGGCAATGTTAATGACACATTCGGTTTTAATTTCAGCGTCCTAGTTTCTTATTTTATGAAGATATAGAAAATATAAACTGGTCATGTACATATTTGTACAAGTTTGCAACAATTTCGCAACAATAAATAGAGTAACTGTATAAGTCATCATAAATAAGGTTCGAACGTATTTTGGCAAATGTTTATATGATTTAAATTACGTTATCCATGACGTCATTGTACGAATTTATTTTAGTTCGATTGTGTTTGGAAGCAATAAGCTGATTGAAACTCACGCGAATCCGTTCCTGGAACCAACCAGTACTAAACAACGGCTTGCTCTTGATGGAGTTTGAACCTACACGGCCAGCACTACTTTAAATAAATTTCATTAGTTGTTTGGAAATGTTATAAGATATCCATTCGTTTGCATGAGCTGTATACGTATTGTAATTTATTAATTGGCAATGTTTGATAATGATGAAAAACATCGTAACTCTAGATATCAAAGATAATCTTATCTAAAATATGTCTGCATTCCTGATGAAAACGAATCTATCAAATAACACCTACGACTATGGCGTGCATCGGAAATGTGAAACAAGAATTAAGTGAATCATACTGTATCACTAAATGTACTACATACTGTTTTAATAAATAATTATGCAACCTTTTTGACTTGTTGTCATTTTTGTAAACATTCTCTGATTGTATAGGATGATAAACCACCTCTTCCGTACAATTTACGAAGCATAGGAAAGGCATGATGGCAAATATTTCACTTTCAAAACTACATACAAAATATGGAATATTTATTTTACGTAATAAAAACAGTATCAAGTATGTACACATGCACTTAACATTGGAGAATGCTCCGTTTAGCATTGACTTAAATTTTACTCCGTTATATAAAATCATTTAAGGTTGCTTTAAATGATATACTTTAATACACTAGTATAGTACTTTGCAATCATATAAGATTGTATGTAAACGTTTTTCATTAAACATTTAGGAGAATTAATGTGCACTCTCATTTGATTTTGCATAAGGGAATTGCATTCATTCCGCGCTTTCACTGGCACGGAGATTTAGATTATTACTTTTTCTGTAAAATATGATTTTGCATTAAAGCTACGTTAAAAGGTCTTTACTGATATTATTTAACTTATTTCTGATAGCAATATGAACCTTTTTGGATATATTGATTAATCTTTCCAGGGTGTTTTTTTTCTTCATCTTTTTAATTGTACAAATACATCAAATTTTATTACATGTATCACCGCTTGCAGGTTAATGACTATATATTATTGCTAAATACTCAACTGTAGTCAAAATGTGTACAAAAACCAAGCATTTTGTGTTCAATTTGCTTGTATAGAAAGTTCTTTGATCAATTATCCGTATTTTCGAAATTTCTATAATAAGAAATTTCCATCTTTGCTTATTTATGAATTATTTTGACATTGATTCCTTATAAAATGTATCCACTATTACTTAATTGAAATGTTTAAAGTTATCTATGTTCTTCAGATAATTAAACAGTCGTAAATTAAGATCAAAGAAAGAGCTCGTCTAAGAATATGTACGAGGCAGGTGTTACGTTTCAGACATACTCTTTATCTGCTAATATCTTACTTACAATTTATACCTTTTCATAAAAATGTTTATGGTTTGGGATTTAATGATACATTTTTTGTTATATGGAGGCAAGTCTTCTGACTCAAGACTGTGACTTATATTCCAAATCGAATATAACAGCTATGGCTTTAAAAAAAACTGTGCAGTTTTTTTGTTCTTGTTTTCTTTTCTCAAAAAGGCATTTTTAGCTTCATACTAAATCCGTACATTTATTTTACAAGAAAATAATCAATTAATGAAATTTTAAAAATTTGATGTTATAAATTGTTTAATCTTAAACAAAAGAGACAAAAGACTATAATTATGAAGATTTTCATGTATGTGCACTTCTTTATTTCTTGCATTTTCAAAGGATGAAATTGTATAAATTAAGGCCAAGCTTAGTCGAATGATTATACAAATGAAATGTGCAAGAATCAGATGTTATATTTTATATTTTTAATGCAAGATGTTGACCACACTGTAACATTCTATCAACTTCTAAGACAAACTTAAGAGGGCTTAACTTGCACCACGTTAGAATGATAATAAACAATCATCGCTTTACAGTTTAAAGCTTTGTATTAGATTGTTAAGATCGAGTTTTGATTTTCACGCTAATCTATATCGAGCATTATATATTATTCTGAGATAAATTTATTATAACTTTAAATTAACTGACAAACTTAAGCGTGTGGCCTTTAACCTTCTATATATTTGAGGACTTTACTCTGTCTTGAATGATGAACAGTACACTGGAATCTTAGCGGATTTCATTTAGCTAACGGCAGTATAAAGCCTGGACAAACAGGACGGTTGCAACAGAAAAAAGGACTAACGAGTGATTATTAAAAGCCGGACAACGCATGCAACTGGTACAAGCGCCGCTTGATGTTTAAATGTTGAATATACTTAAAGCGGTGCTAAAAAGCATGGACGATAGCTTGCTATTACCACTACCGTCCATGGACTGGCTCAATTAAGCCGAGTCTGCAACATTTTCAATTTTGCCGCTGTTATAGCGATTTTTTAAAAGATCGGGTTTTCTCTATTTTAACATCTCCTATAAAAACCTAAACAGCCGTAATTTGATCAAGAATGTGTAAATTTGTTTGTTAAATGCTTCTTATTCACTCGTTGCTTTTGAGAATGCACTTTTTGGCATTAAAACATCCTATCATAAGAGTTTTTGTTTTGTTGCAAGTATGTGGGAGATATTTTGATAAAAGAGAAATGGTTAACATCGTTAATCATGGTCAAAGAATGTATGATTATTTATCTTAAACGTGAATCACGTGTTATAATTATCAACATATTTTGTGAAATTAGATGATAAGATACTTATGTAATGCAAAAGATAAGTTACAAAATAACAAGAATTGAGTACGCTTACTGGAAGAAACCAGTACTAATGTCGAACTGGAAAGCATGGAAATGACCCAAATAAAGTACGAATACTTGAAGTAGCCATAGTCAGAATTATTTTTAACACATCATCAATAGAAAAAGATATAATTATATAAAACATTTGTAAGAATGTAAGAACATTTAAATAAAAAGAAAAAAAACGCAAAATATATACATTTAAAGTTGATATGTCTACAATTGGCAAAATTTTCCAATAAGTATTTTCAATGATAAAAACAAAAGAATTAAATGGTTTCAAAGACACCATAAAAATATAACAACACTGAAG